AATGACTTCGTGACATAGTGGAGGACATTGAAAGCAGCAGGGAGCATGTGTGGATTCAGACTCCAGTGAGACTCTAAAATTTTTTTGGAATGCCACTTGAATTCATGCGAGAAATTGTCTAATATCCTCTCCTCAGAATCACAGCTGCCTCTTCATTCACAACTCTCGCATCACATCTTATCGAATGGGACAGCAACCAACTGCAATAGACTCTATCTACAGACGATGTGATATAAATACTTGAGGAAGGCATATTCGACTGTCATTTCATGTGAGAATTGAGAGACATGTTAGACATGAATCTGTTGATTTTCTGCGCATACCTACTACAAGTAAACGCCATCTGAGATTCTACCTTTCAGTTATATATTCTTGTCAATATAAGTGGTTATTTTCGATTTAATCTCACACTGCTGATAATATCAAAATCGTAGTATTTACATTTACTTTTGATATGCTGTGTATCGAGCAAATGCAATGGAGCAATTAAGAACATGCTGTCAACTCCATGCTGTTTGGAATAAATCGATTTTAATTATTATTACTATGATTATTATTGCCAGCTAGCTGTAAGGGACTGTAGAGATAAACATGAAATGAAGATGTGCTCTTAAATCTTGATATTCTACCTGAAACACATATCGATATTAAGAAGTCTACTTATATTTGCATTTTTGAAATAACTTTATCAATAATAATCATTACTGGAATTTCTAAGATCAGTGGTGATGACACCACGACAATGCAATGCTAGTCAATATGAGATTAGCTAGGAAAGTGTTCTCCACTCAGCTTGACGTCTACCACAGAAACGCGAAACTATGTATCATTTGATGAACATACGTGAAAGTGAAGCCTAGAATTCCCGTTCACATAATCACAATAGTTCAATTCCAAGACTGGTAGAATGAATAATGCACGTTTGTTCCATCATGAATCAGTGTGCTAGCTGATTATTGATTAAGGAGGATTATGGAGGCGCATGATAGTATACAGAATGAAGAAATATTTGTCGTAATTCACGCACACCAACTGATGATATACAATTCTCAGTAAACGTGTGCTAGGTGAATAGTGATTAGTAAAGATTATGAACACCCTACAAATGAGGTGATTTTGGCAACGCGTAATTGTTTACAGAATGAAGAAATATTTGTGATATTTGAGGTCACCATCACGCGATATGTGTCTAACGTATAATTATTGCTCTTTCTGATTATTCTACTGCAGAAATATTTTAATTATAGCAATGATGAAAATGAAAGCTCTATTGCTAACTGTATTGTTGTAGAAATATCCAATTTCAGCATGATCAGCCAAAAGAAGCAAGAGAAGCGATAGGACCTCACATACTGTTTAAAATCTATCGGTGAGATCAGTGAAAACTGAAGCTCAATTGACTGAATCTAATTTTCTACTCTCTCATACTGATCCGCATCACTTGTCGCACATCAGACAGCTCACCTCAATCAAAATTGTAGCGCCTTGTATATTTTCACATGTGTTACTCGCAATCGCATTTCAACATTCGTCGTGAAGAACATATTAGACTCTACTTTACATCTTCACTGTTAACACCATTCCCTGTAGGTAGCATGTTCACTGATGGTCATCGAAAAACTGCATTCTGGGCATTTCTTATGCAAAGTGCTTCGGTATATATATTGAACCGCAGAGTCCCTTGACACATATGGTATCACAATGGTTCCATTCTCATGCTCTTGCATTGATCACAGTTTACACTTCACTTTAGCTTCTTGATACTTGATTCCTCTTAGATTGACTAATTCTCTGTGTGCTTAAGTTCTCACGAAACCTATTTTTACTAATGAATAGGGAGTAGTGATTATTCAGAGAATTCCATATTCATCTTCACGCTGTCGTTTAACTCCTACATCCTCATTGACGAATTCATGTTGAAAGACCGTAGAATTGACTTTGATTTACTCAAATATAAAGAGGTCCAATATTGAGTAATCAGACAGCTTCCTGTTTCACTGACGTCAGCCAGTCAGAAGTGACTTTTATCTGCTGAATGAGGTTTTATACTCTACACCGTCATCACGAGTGAAATGTTCAAATTACATTGAAGAATAAACTTGCTATTGAATAGATTGAATGAGAAGCAAAGTTGTTGATAGTCCACATGACTAGTTTGCAGAGACGAGAACAAAGAATGAAAGTGAGACTAAATGGAAATAACAGTGGAGTGAGCGGTCGACATTAATTTTCAAACTGGTTGGTGTCCTCGCTAACGTATGGCTGATGCTATTCTCAATGTTCCACTTCATCATGAGAACTACTCGTATAACATTCTTGGCATAGTATGTTCCTCAGCAATATGTTTGCCTATGCTTACATCGCCCTGATGAACATGTTTGAATAATGAAAGCGACCCTGATTGATGTATAGTCTACAGTGAAGATATGATGAACGTTTCTCAAATAAGCGCATTCATATATGAAGTGTTCAATGAATGTGCTCACGAAATCGGCGTTATTACCCGACAACTTACGTCTACAACTACCGGTTATGTCAGTGGCGAAAGACAAATGAGGATGCACATTTAAGATTCATGTTGTAACTAACACATCTGAAATGCCGTTCTATTCACAGTTGAGTATTTTGCATATGAACCTTTTGATTCTGTGAATGATCAAGTATATTTCGTGACTGAGACGATAATTCCACGTCATCTGTAGATCACTGAATCAAAGCATTTGAAATCATTACAGTTACAATCAGAGGCAATTCTTAGTGAAATGCCAGTTGAATTCAAAACTAGATGGTAGGCGATATCAAGTGAGATGTATGAAATCACTGATCAAAATCGTTTTGTGAAGTAAATTTCACAGATTCCTTGCGGAATCAAGTGAAATAAACATCACAACTCCGGTAATTGAATGGACATTATTCAGTTATCTCAGGTCAACTCTTCATGTCGTGTATCTTTCTAAAATGATTCAGTCTAGTTGATGAGTGAAATCACTGAGTGATTGGGGAATGAGTCAGGAAGCACCACATATCAAGTGTCACAGTGACTTACAGATATACACAGATGAAGGTGTTAGTGGATATGTGAAACAGATTATTAATTTCTTCTGTTTGATTCAACCGATGTCGTATGCACGACAGAACTGATGTCACTTGAGGCTTCAGAGTCTCATATACACAAGCATGCTTCATGTGTCAGCGTCCTTCATTTCAGGCTTTCCAATTCGATATCTGTTTGTGCATAATCCCAAATGAGCTGACATGATGTGAGATGCATAACACATGGTGGCAAACTTGTTGATGGCTTCATAAGTGAATTTGTTAAAATGGTGATGTGTAGAGGAAGAAAGATATGCGTGATTTTTCCGATGCCGAAAATTTCTGTCAATTACAATAACCTCACTTGAATCCCTAAATTCCAATCATTCATTGCTTGACTGAGTTCGCCAAGAAACTAATTTACATGTGATATACAGGATAGAGATATGGCGTCTTATATGTGAATGATATCCTACTTGGAATAGATTTTGGGAACTGGACGAATACAGGTTAGAATCAACGATTTCCTTCAAACCCCATTCTGGCGTTTCCTGCACTAACTATTCGGAAACTCACTCAAGGATAGTGCGTTTTCTCAGCTGCAAGTTTATCAACGTTCAAGTTTCAATTCGAAAGTGGTCGATCTCACAATCGCTTATAATCTCAACAGTCTATTCAAATTGTAACGAATGCATGAGACTGCAGTGTGACGGAGTAATTGGTCAGAAGTTCCTTCATGAAAAATCTAGTTGCGATAACTATCCTTACTCGGACATTTCAACTAACGTTTTAGTTGTCATCCTCTTTTTTTCTAGTTTACGCATCACTGTTCTTACACTAGCATATTATGTGTTCACTTCATGCCTATTATTCGTCTTTCTCCTTGTTAGATCCCTTATCTGAATGCTTCTATTTGTGCTTGTACGATACACTGATAATATGTTGTTTGACTGTGTTACTCAGTTTTAGAGAATCTAGGGTACTCTGAGCTTGTACTGTGGCCGTGAATTGTTGGTGGGTGATTGTAGTGAACTAAATGCGGATTCCACGTTGTTGTGAATATTCTTCCTGATTCTCAGGTCCTCTGCACGGTTGAATGTCACCTTACTAATTCTGCCCTACACTACTTGTTTTGTACTTGAAATATCCTTTTCCTGATTAGCTGTCTATCGACACTTATGAGGTAATTTTGAGTTTTCCATGTTATTATTGTTGATGTTCAATACAACCACGTATATTATACGACTTATAGAAACCTTGTGACTGCCTTTGTAGAGCTTTGTGACTGGGAATCTCTCGAGGAGGTTTTGAATAGCCAGATGGTGGGATGCAACAAATGGTTTCCTCTTTTCACACTGAAATTATTTCCCAGCGCTCGTAACATACAGATTTATGGAAGCTCACTGCACAGACATTTCAGCGTATCTAGATATCATCCAGCGTGTCTTCATTCAGATGTATCTATTTGCTATCAGTGATGAGGAGCATAACCCTTATCACTATCTTAGATACTGGAATTAATGGCTTACATTCGCGGCTAACACTCATTTGATTCTAAATCGCGTGGAAACTTATTTTACGTGCTCTTGGTTCATTTGGTCCGTGCTATCCATGATTAATCACTCGAAAGACATTGACTCAATTTTGTTTCAATTGAGGTCAGTTACGCCTATAAGTCTCCGCGCTTTGCTTAGCCAGCAGATCTAATTTTATCTACCACAGGGTTCATGTTTGTGAATAACACAATTTGTGCCATGAAAACGCTCTCTACTCTCAGAAGCATCTGACGCACACTCTACTGAAGAGACTCAGTCTTCTGACAGCCACCTGATGACTAGTCTCATATTACCATATTCTTGACGACGACAGCCCACCGCCAAATCCTTCACTGCGAATTCAAATATTAACCACACCCAATCACAACCAGCAGTTCAATATACGTTTGAATTCATGAAGAGAAAGCGGTGTAGCAGATAATTGATTTACTTAATTTATTTAATTCAAAAGAAAATATTTACGAAAGTTTCTACAATCTACATGTATTGAGTAGTACGCCGACTTTGACATTCATCCTGGTTCTTCTCTTCACTTTCCTGTATGAGAATAAAATCAGTTAGCAGTACTTTTGAGTAATCAAGAAACACGTGTACTGGAGAGAAGGATGATTGTTGGTGAACTGTATGCTTATTCATGCAATCCGAGAATTCTGAGTATTTTCAATGAGTGACAGTTTCAATTCTCATTGTTTGTCTGAGTACATGAGTTGCTCTCTTTCAGTAATTCACTAAGACTCGTGTGGAATTCGCTGACTTGCTTGCATATCCTCAGTGACGCCTCTGAAGTGTGCATGTGTATTCTCATACATTCATGATATTGTCTATTTAGAACTGCCACGATATTATTCATTGTGGGATATCCGCATGGTAACTTACAACGCCACTGATGATGCTTTCACCATTCGATTGAACAGGCGTATTCGAGACTGCAATTTGAACCACTCACTCACTGACCAATATTTGTGCTGTATGGTGGGAGAAAAGTCGATGGTGAAAAATATTATCTAGCTGTTGCAGTGAATATCTGAATCCTGTGTTGTACTTTGCCCACTAATCATCCTCCAACCAGACTGTCTCACATCTCGTGTCTTGGAGATTCTTAGCTGCACTATATTAACACACCTTATCCTTGCATGTCAATTTCGTATGATTGAAGGCGAATTTCGATGCAAAATATATCTCACCTGTCAACATCTTCAACTTAATTGTGTAAATGTTCTCGTAAACTAGAAATGATAAAGCACATTGAAAAATATTTGAATTGACCAGTGAAAGGGATTGTTGTCTATCACTGAGTTCGTATGATAACTAATATAAGATCAACTATGACTATTAATTTTGACAGAGAAAATGAACTCACAAATTTCACTACTATACCAGGAGTTGGAGAAGTATAATGCTTCGATTTCAAGTTTCAGTTGCTGTAGATCTGAAATAATTCATGAAAGAATACATCTTCCTGAGTGAATTTCTCAGAATCAAATTATGAGATTTGAACACAAAATTACGTGACTTGAAAATAACGTGACAATAATCTGTTTCACTTCACAAACTCATCCACTTGCATGATGTTTACTTTGCACCATGTTCAAACGATAATCATCAGGTCATTATGTTATTATTGATTCAGTTTCACGTTCAGCAGATTGTCTTTCAGTGCGCGTTTCTACACATATTCACACCATCTGAACAATTTCATCAGTAGACGACTGACCACATCCCAAACACTAAAGTTGTTCATTCCCCTCCACAGATAAATTTTCGATTCTTCGAATATCCCCATCATAGACTATCGTACAATAAGAGGTGGATGTTCATGAACTCAAATCATGATGAACTTATTGTGATATATGAAAATATACTCTCATCGTAGGTGTACATGAAAATGTTATTCATTATATCGTGAATATAAAAAGGGAACAAGCGAATACCTTCTTGATTTGCCGAAGCTAGATTTCCGTGACATTTGTTTACAGGGAACGCCTTTTGTTTTTCTATTTGTGGGTGAGAAAGGGAATAAAAACAGTTTCATTATGTGGAGACTTGAATTACAAAACTCGTTACTCCACTCAGACGAAATAAATCGAACCGATAAGCGTAATAAAAGGCTACTCACCAAGATATGTTGACTCTTCTTGTAGGCAACAATCTATCACATTATCCAATGTTCCGTCATCAACTGTAAATAAATTAGTTTCACACATATAAATCCATTCCTATTGTTTTCAATTTAATACGTATACACATTGATGCATGGTTAACACAAACACAATCACAATTGAGGCGAATAAAATTTGTTTACTAGTTGATAGATTCTCAACGGGTATCCGAGATGAGAAATACAACATTCAAACATCTATCGTCAATCACTTCCTCATGTTCATCGGTGCATGAGGAAATTCTCCACCTTTATTTGACGTTAGCATATGAAGTGCATGATTGAAATAACGATAGTTAACGCATGAATATAATCCAGGTGAAGGAAGATTGTTGGCCAGAATATTGACGAGAAATAATTATGATGGCAGATAAGTATATAAATGACTCAAAATATTCAACTTACTCTTGTCGAGATATTCTGCGATATCTAGAAAAGATAGAAAGACGTTGGAATGTTTAGTGGCTCCGATCATTTTAAAGTTAACAACATTGCAAAGATTCATCACGCCGCGGTCGAATAGACGTGTAATAATAAAATGATCGCTGTGAGAGCATATCGCCAACAGAGAGTGTATCAAGAAAGTGATTTCAGACCAATCAAATGGAAGCACAGTTTGTAGTGAATAAATTTCGCTAGTAAAATTGTTTGAAATGAAAAGAATTTCTTAGAACGCACTTTTAAATGTGATTGCTCCCGCCTTGTATTTGTATGCAGTTTTCAGGCAGTCCGTATCTAAAATAGGTTGTCCATCATGTCAATAAATACGGTTTCCTTACACTTTTCTAGTTCTCCTCGTAAGCTTGCATTTTGACTGAGAATGTTCTCTAGGAAACAGAAAAGCGAAAGGTTTGAAAGTTATGTCAATATATGCTACACACTAGATGACATGATTGATGTCATCATTAGTGATAATTTCGAGAGAGTAATTCGAAGCATATTTTCGTCAGCGTGAAAATATTATCAACAGTAAGGTTTAAGGTTATATATACCTGTTAATCTTTGTACTTCCGCCTCAACAGTTTCGAGCACCGAAATAGCGTTAGTTATTCTATCTGTGGGGAGAGGAGAATATTTTGAATGAATTATTATATGTGACGCAAGATGACTGAATGCAAATGGATAATACACATTGTAAATTGTTGCATTGAAGACGACTGAAGGAATTTCAGGTAGGCCAGTCATTCTCCACACTGTCTTCAATGATATTATATCAATTTTCGAGTCTTCAATGAAGATCATGACTAAAACGATCATTGTGAGACTTTCGTTATTCTCAAACAATTTTCATGACAAATTCTCAAGTAGATTGTTAACCTCAAATAATATGCGCGTTATTCATTCTCACATTCAATGTTCTTTATCCTATTTTCAATTTCAGTTGCATTCAGCGGTTCACCTGGAAATGAAATGAAGAATATTAAAAGACAATTATTATGCAGAGAAGCAGTTTCAGACGACTGAAAATAGTCAGAACAATTTCTTCACTTGAAATTTATCAGACTCCTCTAGAGGGCTTTATGTATGCCATTGCAGAGCAGAAACACATCATCTCAAAATCTGTACTCGGGCAATATTTGTTACTTTTAGCCGAAAACCCTATCAGAATGAGAGAGCACATCCCTGTGCAATTATTTATATAGACAGTTTCTGAGTCAGAATTAAGAGGAGAGATGCGTCCACGAGCATTATTACACTGCTGGTCACCATCTATCAAGCAAGATGAATTCGAGATGAAAGTATATGTGAAAGTGACCATTCCGGAGTAAAAGCTCAACCGGAGAGAATGAACTGTGAGAGTGAATAGCGAAATATTCAACAGTGCTAGTGAATAAGGAAGACATTTCGTAAGGATTAAGCCACAAATCTTTTGAAAAAATGCTTACCTGAAATAGTGGCTGCGAATGCCAACACAGTGACGAAAGCTACTTGGCTGTATGTGAAGTAGACCATCTTCTTATGGTAACTGACTTTCCGTTCCTGTATTTATACCACAACAAGCAGTCACAGTTATCGTTGTAATCTGATCATTGGTTGATTACAATAATCATAATTTCATCGTTCATTTGTGGAACAGTGTAGGTGAGTGTTGTGATTGGTGATGTCACGCGATTCACATAATGAATCGGCGGAATCTGATAGGTGCTATGAAATCCGTCAATCTGTAGAAACACTTTAATCTAAATAGTGAGCAGAATTCATCTGTTGGCGTCCACATGAAGTTTGTGACACTTGAGCATCATTTGAAAATACCATTTCATTTCAGTAGTACACAAAATGTTATGAATTTGTTCTTGTGATGCAATCATTCCATAACTTCTTGCATTCACTTTTAGTGATTTCTTCCATTTTAGACAAGAAGGTGAAGTCTCCATGGACACAGTATTTGATTCACATTTTATCGTCTCAGTCTGATTCAGCTGTAAATGAATTGTGCCGTTCTCACCAAAGAGATTGAATGGACACTGTAAAACTCCGTGAAAATTAAGTTCCTTCGTAGAAGGTTCTCGATGTACTTGAGTTGTCTGTGCTGCATGGTGTACTTGTGAGTGCTTCACAGCATTACTAGGTTACATTTTCAGCACTTACTCCAGTTTGTCGAAGTGAGCGTTGAAATTCCTCGACTAGTTTATCAGTCACGTGCCATTGTGACCGTGAATGTCGTGATTGTTTGCTCCTCTCTTTTTTCACATCGTCTATGCTATTTGCGATGGTACTGATTGGTACTGACTGTTTCCTTGACTTGAATTTTCACTTCCTGTGCATGAGATTTTCCTCTGATGGATTGGTAAGTTTTATCTGTGACAATGTGACTGTTATTTGCCGATTCACTTGAAAACCAGGCTTGTAATGCTTCTCTGGCCTAATGGCATTTCCTTCGCTTAATATTTGAACATTGATTGTCCCCGTCGAATTGATGTCCGTGGTTGACTGCATTCAGCGATATGTGATGGTGGATATCGTCACGTCTTGTGACCGCTAGATTTTGCTAGTGACCAAACATGACGCCCCATTTTGAACAACGTGGTGCCTATCTCAGTCGTTGCAACATAATTTGCAGATGATTTTGGTTTTGTCTCTCGCTGTTGGGTCCTTCAGTCAACATAGAGCCAGCCGACTGGAGTGAGTTTTTGGTTTGTGTGTGACATCAATTCCTAGACTAGACTGTGTGAAAACGTGAAAGAGCAAACAGTCACGACATTCACATACACTAGTTGGGCTGTCTGATAAACTAGTGGAGAAATTTCAAAGCCCACTTCGACAATTTGAAGAGTTGGATTGGAAAAGCTGCCTGGTGTGGCAATGAGAGCATCGCGAGTAGACGATTTTGGCTGAATGATTAACACAACTACATCAATGCCATTCCCGTGAGCTACAAATCTTTTCATATTGTATCTTGTAGAATGTCTAAAGGGTTGCTTTTCAATTAATGTAGAAGAAGAACTCTCCCCAGAAGAAACATCTCTCTTAGTGCACATCATGATGATTTGGTTTTGTGGAATTGCTTTATTTCACACCAGAGCTGTTGGATTCACTAGCATTAGTTGCAGATTTACTCTGGAGTAGTTGCATTCTCTCATATTATACAAAAGCTGCATTCATCATTTTGAGGCGAGGATCATTTTAGCTCATAAGCAATCTAATCCACTGAAATTACACGTTAAATCACTAATCGTCTTTGTGGAGATCTGTGGTATAATCTTCCAGTGCTAGCTTCTGACCAGAGTCTATAAATAACATTATGTAGGTAATGTGCTCTGCAGGTGTCAGAAAGTCGGCGGATTTTGAGTCAAATAGATGAAAGAAGAATGATGAGAGTTTGATGCATTCACGAGTTGATAAATGTTGGATGCGTTTTTATCACGTTGAATGATTTTGACTCCGACACTGACAGTCTTCAGCCATCGGTTCCCAGAGTCTCCACGACCTCAATCACACAGTCTACACCATTTCATGTAGCTGACAACAGCAGTTACAGGACTCGATATTTGACGACAGATTGTAATTTGACTGCTCCTTACTCTTTCTCAACCTGATCCGATTTCAGCTCAGTGTTTTGTATCGAAGAGTGATGCAATAGCATGGTGTATGTGAGATACATTTCAGCCATCTCACTCGATTAAGACTAAGAGCCTCGACCACCGATATCCTCTCACCACATCACATCTTTAAAGACAATCAGAGCGAATTTACGCGCGCTAGGCAAGTTCTTCGATAGATAACTAGTAGTGATGTGGAGGTGGCAAATGTCTCCTCTGACTTGCTCCCTCTGCACTTCTATCTGATCAAAGGTCAGTCCACGTGGGCACATGGAACTTCCAAAAATAATTGAAGATTTCAGTACCTTAGACCACTTTACACAACACCCACTCTCGCCTTACAACTGGAGTTTCCTGTTTAATGCACAATCACATCATCTTTGAAGACATTCGAAGGATAGGGAATGACTTACCTCACCACCCTCGGAAAACAAATATTAGTGTATAACTCGCGATTTCGAGTTAAGCGGTATGGTGTACTCTGTGCATTGAAGATAACCACTACTTGTGCATCACCAATAATCTTTCTGGAGAGAAGTGAGTACTGATGAGATCGAGAACTCAGTTACAGTTATCATGCTTGGGAAGAAACGAGGGATAATGACAAATACATTTGAAGTGGTTCTCTGATAGGGAAATAAGAGAAGTTTGAATACACCGATTGGCAGGTTTTTTTGTGTTGCACTCATCGAAAAGAGCCATCAGCTTGCATCTACGACTCTTTTTCGTATTGCCAACTAACCAATTGCCTTTCAGAAACATTTTGGCATGGAACACTTCTGTCTACTTCAGATGATTGGCATTCACCGGTGGATCTGTGTCGCATTTCTGGATGAGTTGTGGATGGCGGTCAATTCAGGCGTCATCGGAAATCATCGGCCTACTGTTCCCGTTACTTCCTTCATTGGCTATTCAGTTTCTCGTCACTATCTTTCCTTGGTCGTATGTGTGCGATCTCTTTTCCGAAAGGAATTGGTTATC